ACCGGCTCGCTCAGAATCAACAGCACCATCTGGACACTTTATTTAGCGTTTCATTAAAAAATTAACTGGAACAGTGGCCGTGTGCGACGCTGGTTTTATTTGCTTCCTGGACCCTGAGCTGCAGTGGTTCCATGATTGAAGCTGCACCAAGACACGGAGACGGAGACGGGAATAATTTACCTAACATGAAAAAAAAACAATATTTAATGAATTGTTTGCACAGAATAATTTACCTAACATGAAAAAAAAAAACAATATTTAATGAATTATCACATGGGCAGAGAAACAGATTTTTTTTTTGTTTTTAGTTTTATTAGAAGAGTCCAGGTCAATAATCGTTTTAATCCAAAATTCAAATTATTTTAGACACAGCAGTAATGCATATACAGAATGTTGTCACATGTGATAAAAGTGTAACATAAGGCTTTTAAAATGGTGCTGTACTGTACTGTACTGTACTGTACTGTACTTTTGTCATACGTTTATGACATGTAAACTTTTACACTTGTGTCGTTCTTTTTTCTCTCATTTGCAGTAAAGTTATTTTTAACACAAACCCATAAAATTCAGAAACTAAGAGGGAAGAAGAAAAACATATACAGTAGCTGCACTTTGTGTATTTTACAAAATAAAAAACCCAGTGGTCTTTAATTGAAAACATGGGTTTTTGATTTTTGTTACGTGAAAATGAAGTTTCTGTTAAATCTGTTACTTCAGCGTCTGACACTAAAATATTAAATGTGGACAGAGATATTCTTAACAACACTCACATGCTCAGACTTCCGGGGACGGACTGTTCTCTGCGTCAATAAAACACAAGGTTTGGGAACACATAAGATTTAAACACACACACACACACACACACACAGGCATGCACACGTTGCTTGTAGGTTTAGGGTTTCAAACCCTAACGCCTTCCCTTCTCCCTTACACTCACCCTAACCTGTTACAGCTAATCCTAATCCTGACCTCACTTTAACTCTAACCTGAACATAATTCCAATCCTGACTCCAAACTAAATCTTGAAAATCACTAGTATTTTCCGAGAAAAATGTCCCCTCAGATATAGCTGTACCAGGAATGCACACACACACACACGTGCACGTACACAAAAGTTCTTCACACATGGCAGTAAAAAGGAGAACATACTCCTGACATTATGTGAAGCCAAGTGGGCGGAGCCTCCAGTTTGACTTTAACAGATGACAGTGTTTTCTCCTTCTTTTTTTTTTTGCTCTGGAACGACATGATCTCCAACTCCAACATGATCTGAACTCCAGGGACGAGCAGTTAAAAAAAAAAACAACAACAACAACGAAAAAAGTACAATTCATCAAATGTTACTGCATCAGGTTATTTATAGTAACCAGATTAACCAGTCTGTGCTGAGAGACTAACCAGGTAGAACTGTGACCCACTGAACTGAGTGAGTGTGATGGAAGTCCTTGAACAGTAAAACAAACTTCTCTGTGTTTGTTTCCTGGTCTCCAGCTTCAGGAGGTGGGGGAGGAACCGGAGGTTTTTGGGGTGGGGTCTGCTGCGCGTGCACACAGGAAAATCAAAATATTATGAGTCCAGATCTTGGCAGGGCCCGAGGGCCACGTGACATCCTGTGGAACACGTGCAGAGCAGGAGCCGTGGGTTTGTTTATGAATTTCTTCACTCTTCTTCCTCGCTCCTCTCTGCGTTCTTCACTCATATGGAACTTGTTAATTCTACGATGAGAAGCAGTTCTCTGCGTTCTTCACTCATATGGAACTCGTTAATTCTACGATGAGACGCAGGAGGAGAGAGAGAGAGAGAGAGAGAGAGAGAGAGACGCTAAACTGCAAAAAAAAAGCTGCACATGCTGCAAGAAAAAAACATGTCATTTTCAAAGTGGACAAAAAAAAATGATGAGACTCAAAGTTCAAAAAGATCCAGCTGTCTATGAAACACAGACTTTAAATAGAAAACAAATCCGGAGGGAACATTCCAGAGAGGAGGCCACTCCTTTTATTCCTAATAAAAAGTAGGCCATAGCAGCAGCAGCAGAAGAAGAAGAAGAAGAAGAAGAAGGAGAAGAGTTGTTGTCTTCCACCAAAGAGGCTCCGCCCACTCCTCAGACATACAGTTCGCTCTGTTATTTGTTGTAGTGTCTTCGTGACTTTGTCTTGAAGTAGTGATTTTTGTAGTTCAGCGCGGTTACACGGACGGCTTCTGTCAACTTTTACTTTAGTGTCTGAACTCGGGTCAAGACTTTTTGTGGCGCTCACTCTTTACTAACCTCCTGTTAGACGATGTGTCCATCCTGAGGTCAAATGAGACCTTTGTGGCCTTCGTTATTTAAGGCAGACTTTTAGGGCAAATCTGGAGGATTTGGTTTGCAAATTTGTTCATAATATACAGTATATATACTATACTACATATATATATATAAATATATATATATATGGAAGGGATATTTAAAAAGTTTTGTTATGAATAGAATAGAAAGTGAAAATGGAACTGCAGTACAGCTGCGGTCTCTCTGTTCTGTTTCCCTTTTTACTTTTTTTTTTTAAACTGAACTCCTTCACATTGTGTGAAAGAAACGCAAATATAAAGCAGTGAAAATCTAATTTTCCAGATTTCGAGTTGTTTTCAACAACATTTATTCTCCTGAGGCCAAAACATGTCGGTGCGTTTCTCTGTTTCTCTGTTCCCCACTTTAGTTGATGAACTAAACTCACTGTTGTGTTCACACGGTTTCCACCTCTTAATTCATTCCTCCATCACTCTGTCTGCGTGTGTGTACATGACCAGTGTTT